CCCCCCCCACCCCGCCGCCACCCACCGTGTCACAACTTGAGGGGAACAGGGAGGCAGCAGATCCTCTGGACTCCTGGGCAAGGAGGCCTGGCCCAGGGGGGGCCCGGGTGTCCAGGACCATACCCTGGCACTGTGTCCCGTGTTTGGATCCAGCTCGTTCAGGGAATACCGAGTCCCGGCTCTTCCTGTGGGTCCAGCGTCCGGGTGTCGCTGCTTATTAGACGCCCACGGGACGCACCATCATGCGGGTGGCCCGCAGCGAGTAGCTGGGGCCTTGAAAGTAGTGCCAGCGGATGCCGTTGAGCTTGCGCACGTGATGGTGAGCCGCGTAGTAGATACCATTGAGATTTGAGAGGCCGCAGGCATCAAACCACCATCCTGGTGGAGGGAGAGGAAGACGCTTTGGGGAGGTAGGGGCCAGCCAGGGGCCCGAGGGCAGCCCTCTACCCCGGGGACCGATCAGGGCCGCTGCCTCCTCCAGGGAGCCAGCTGGCAGGAGATGGACAGGGCGGGAGGGACACCGGGGTGGGAGGGAGAGTCCCGGACCTTCCGCTCAGCCCGTGGCCTCTGGCGGACGGCACCTTGATGGTCCCTGAGCTTGTGTCCGTCTCTCTGCGGGGCTCTGGTGTCTCTGTCTCTCTCCCTTTGGTCTCTGTTGCCCTGCCTTTCGGGGTCTGTCTCTCACACAGCGTGTCCGTCTGTCTTTCTGTGGTCTGCACATCGTCTCTCCATCTCTCCCTCTGGACTTCTGTTCCCGTGGGACTCTCTGTGTTCACTGCTCTGTGTCTCTATGTCCTGATGTCTCTCTTGTCTCTGTCTCTGCGTCCCAGGAGGTCTCTCCTCCTCTCTCTGCCCCTCCTACTCACCCCATCTCCTGCTTTCTGACCTGTGTCCCCCACGCCCAGGAGCACTGCCTGAGCCGGGCATTGGTGGGGAGCTGCCCCTCTTGTCCCTCTGCCCACGTCTCCCCATCTTGGTCCTGCTCGGCCTGGGGGGGGAGTGGGTTCTCAGGCCTGGGGTTGGGACCCCACCCCCCAGTCTCAGGCGAAAACTGGTGGTGCCTGTGTCAGGATGAGGCAAGACCCTGAGGGAACCTTGAGGACTTGGCGGGGGAAGGGGCGGATAGGGCACAGCCAGGCCCGCCCAGGGGTGGGGAGGAAATGGGGGTGTCCAGCCAAGTGAGCCTGTGGGTGAGCGGGGCTTCGGCCCACTGGCACCCACCTCCAGACAGCATCTGGGCACACTTGCAGAGGCAGTTGTCATTGTCTGCATCACGGGTGCTGAAGTTGGTGCCTTGCAGGACCAGGCTGCTCTGGCGCCCTGCTGAGCCGCTGTATCCGCTCAGAGAAAGCCTGGAGGCCACCGGGAGGTGGTGATGGGAGAGGGGTCCAGAGTGAGGATGGGGCTGGTTAAAGAACGACCTCCCCCACGAGGCTTGGTCCTAGGCGGGGGCACCTCTCCGGTTGTTCTGGGGTGAGGGGCGCCCCAGCCTAGGGTGCTTCGGCCATCCCTGCCCCTGGATTACCCTCCCTGCCTGCTGCCTCCCCGGGAACAGAGCACCCACTGTGGGCCAGGCCTCCCTCACCTCACCGACCCCGAGTCTCGGATAAGAGTGAGAGGGATCAAAATAACGACGAGAATGAAGGTGATGGCTAACGTTTTTTTTGAACGGCTACTATGCCCTGGGCATCGTTCCAAGCGCTTCACGTGGGTTAACTCATTCTTGCTCAGTCCTCGCAACACCCTATTGGTTCCAGTTTACAGACGAAGAAACAGAGCCCAAGAACCTGAGGAGCCTGCCCCGGGCCTCAGAACGGAAGAGGGTGAGAGCCAGATGCCAGCCCGGTGTGGCCTGCCTTGGGAGCTGCGTGCATTTCCCTCGCCAGCTGACCGCCCTGCCACCTTCAGGAAGCCTTCCCTGACCACACCAGCCCACACGGCTCTGTGCCCCGGGGCAGCCCCAGCCCTGTGACTTGCGCACCCGCAGCCCGCTGGGGAGGGTTTCTATTTCTCTGCCAGGCTGTGAGATCCTCTTGGGCATGTCCAGGCCTGCATGGTGATTACGACCATGAGCTCTGGGGGACAGAATGCCTAGGTTTGAATCCCCGCTCTGTCATTCTCCGGCGGCATGACCTCGGGCAGCCTGCGTCACCTGTCAGCTTCAGCTTCGTCATCTGCTAAAATGCTAATAACGGTAATATTAACCGTGGCGCCCTGGTCTGGTTATTGCGGTCCCATGACTTCGGCGTGTGATGAGTGCAGAGCAGGGCGGGCACGCAGTAAATAGTCAGCACGTTGAGGGCTGGCTGTCATGTGTCCCTGCGTTCCCAGCCCTTGGCATGTGGCTGGCGCGGGCTCCTGCTCAGCCTGGTTGGAGAGAGTATTGTGTGCTTGTAGCACAGGCAACGCAGGTGGGGACCTGGTCTGAGGACGATGAAGAAGGTCCTACGGGTGAAGGAAAATGGATGCCAGAGGCGGCCAGGGAAGCTCAGGGAAGCTCTGGTTCCCCCAGGGCAGGGCCTGGGAGATGCCCCCCTGTGGGATCAGGAGGAAATGTGGGGCTTGGGCACGTGGCCTGGCTCGGTCCCTGCACCTCCCACCATGGGCTCTGCCTGTCTGTGGTGAGGCAGGGGCATGGCCCTCGGGGCCAGATGCTCTAACCGTGAAGCTCTAACTGTGCCCTTAAACACGCAACCCAGGGCTCGCCTGACTGGTGTTGTAGCCCCCCCACCCCCCACCCCGGAAAGAGGCCCATCTGGCCAGGGCTCTCGGGGGTGGGGACAGACAGGTTGGCCCATGGCTTCATATAGTCCCAGCTTCTCTTTGTGGCTATTATAGGCTCCCCTTGAGGCTTCAGCGATGTCAGTTCAAGGTCAGGCTTGGGGCTCTGGCTGACGTTCGGGGTGACATTCAGTCTGAGCTGGGTCGAATCAGGGCTGGACAAAGCCGATGGGCCTCACGGGGGTTACTCCAGCAGCACTGGCCTCCCTACTGTCTCCAAGTCCTCAGCTCAGTCTCTGCCTCCCTTCCCCTCCCCCGTGGGTGCCAGAATGGGGATCTTGTGACCCCCGGGGAACTCTCAAGTCGGGGACCAGGATGCCCCACGTGACTCAATGCTGAGACACATCTCGAACATGTGCATGGCTCAAGCCTGGGGAACCCAAACACACAGGCCTCCGGGTATCCCCAAGTTAGGCACACAAGGTGTGTTTTCCACGTGTCCGTGGATCTGTGGGTGGGTCTGTGCATCTACAGTTGCGAGCGTTTGGATGCCGTTGTTCGTGCCTGCGCGCATATGTGTGCGTGTGTTCTGAGTCTGTGTTTCAGTATCTATGGTGGAATCTGCCTTTGTGTCTGGAATTGCGCGTGTGTTACCTGTGAGGGCTTCTGCAAAGCACCGCTGCACGTGTGTCTGTGCTTGCTTGTGTAGCGATGCGCTTGTGTGAGTCTGTGTGCTCTGTAGGCCTACGTGTGTGCCCCAGAGGTGTGGCGAGCCCCTCCACATGTGCACGTATGTCTGTGCCCGCCCTTGCGTATCTCTGTGTGTATCTCGCACTTGTAATCAGATCTGGGTGTGTGGGCACCTCTGGGGGGCATGTGCCTGTGCCTTGGCCGTGCCTCCTGCTTCCTCCCTCCCTGTGGGCCACTTTCTCTTGTAGGCTTATGCATGTGCCTTAGTCAGGCTCTAGAAGGCCCTCATTATTGTGTCTGACAAATAAGGGTGGCCTTCCCGCCCCTGATGCCTATGCTTCCCTGCCTCTGGGCTTCCCTGTGGGGATCCTCCCCACCTCAGCCGCCAGCTGACCCTACGGTGGGGACACGGGGACCAGCATCTGTTCTGTCACTCTCCCTTTGGCTCTTCTCTGGCAGTTTCCACATCTCCCTCTGTTTTCTAGGATCTCCGTGCTGCACCCCCCCCACCTTTGCTCCCCCCCCAGACTCCCAAGCCTTTCCTGAAAGAGCAGGGACTCTTCCTTATGATCTTGAAAGAGACTTGCTCAGGTTTGGGGTATCCGTGGCCAGCTGGATGGAAGGAACCCCCTCTCTGCCTTTTTTCAAAACATCCCCACTGCCTGGGGGTGCCCTTCCTATTCTCTCTTTGTCTGGAGGATGCCCACCCTTTATAGGCATTACCTCCTCCAAGGAGTCCTCCCTGTTCACACAAGCATCTCTATGCCCCTGTGTGCTCCCCACAGGCGGCTACTGTCTTCCCGGGAGTGTGGGACTGCCTGTGGACGTGCTCACCCCCAGACGCACAGGACCCACGACTGTGAACGAAGCAACGGGGATAGGAACAGCAGTGAACTCACACAGAGCAGGCGAGCCAAGTGTGTGAACAGCTGCCTCGGGGTCAGCAATTATATTCTTTGCTGAGCATTTACTAAGTACCAGGCACTGTGTTAATGCTCGGTGTGCAGTGTCTCATTTGAGCTTCATAGCACTTTGAATAAGGTAGGTACACCTAGGGCACCCATTTTACAGATGAGAAAGTGGAGGCATTTCTTCGGGATCACTGAGGGAGATAGGGATGGAGTCAGGACTTAAGCCTTGGCTTTAGTGGCTTGACTAGGAGTCGGCAGCGTGTTGTGGTTACTCCCTGGTCAGCTCGAGGAGTAGCGGGGAGGGGACCATCCAGCTTAGCCCTTGCCTCGCCCAGACCCAGGGCATGGTTCATTCAGCTCTGAACCTGGCTGTTTAAGGAGGACTATTATCAGATTGGGGTGGGTCCCGTAAGGAGGATGTCAGAACAACTTAGCTGGAGGATCCAGGGCGTCTAATAAGAAGAGAAAGGAGTGGGTGGAGCATAGTATCGAAAAGCTCCCTGAGATGGAATTAGACCTAAAGTGCAGGAAGACGGAGAATCATCCGATTCCTTTGGAGGAAGTGACTTCCCTGTCAGTGGAGGCATCCCAGCCTGGCTGGCTGGTGGCTGGGGCATATGTGCTAGCATCACATGAAGCCCCAGGCGACAGGTGACGTCCTTTGCAGACTTGTGAGTGGGAGTCTATGATTTCAATCCTGTCCTGGTTCAAAGATAGCCAGGACCCAGTCGTATCTTCAAGAACCTTGAGTTTCTCAGAGAGGCAACATCATGTAGTAGAAACACCCTGGGTGTCGGTAGCAGAGAGACCTGAGTTCAAATCTAAGCTCTACCTAACTTGTAACTTGGGGCAGGATACTTAAATTGTGTGCCTCAGTTTCCACATCAGTAAAGCAGGTGCGGCAATGCTTACCTCAGCGTGTTGTGGGAGGATTAAATGGAGTAATATGCCTGGAACAGAGTAGGTGCTCAGTAAGTGCTCATTTCTCTTCCGAAATAGAGCCAAGAACCGAGCCGAGGGAGGTGTGGGAGACCTTGATGATTTCACATTACGCTCATATTTAAGCCCATCCCGCAGTTAAGAAGCGGAAGTCCAGACAAGCCAGAACATTGACTTGCCCAAATTGACAAAGCGAGCTGGAACAGAGCCAGAAGGAGCTCAGGTTCCCTGATTCGTAGCCCAGGGACCTTTCTACCTTACCCCACGGCATGGGACAGGCTGGGCTCCCCGCTCTGGGCCTCAGGAATATGGCTGCCTCGGGGTGACTGACCTGAGAAGGCCCTTTCCTGCTCCTGGGATGGCAGCGTCAGTGACAGTCTCTCCACCCCACCCAGTGGCCGGGACGTGCTGAGTGTTAACCGGCCGCCTCCAGATCCCGTGACGTGCGCCCAAATGGGGGACAGATGGTAGGAACAGGAGACGCCCAGGGATTGACCCTTGGTGCGGACTCTACAGCCACTAGCCCGGGACCCCAGCCCGCCCACCAGCCTGGGCCCCGAGCCCACCTGTACAGCTGCCCCTCGCTGCCCAGCTGGAAATGCTCATACTGAGCGTAGGCCTCGTTGCCTTCCCAGTCTTGCAGCTCCACACGCAGGGAGTAGGCTGTCCGGCCGGTGAGCTGGTGCATCACCTCATTGCCCAGCCAGTGCTCCCCTGCCGGGTCGCCGAAGCCCTGTGGGGAGAGAAGGGTGGGGGTGGGCTTCATGCTGCGATGGGAGGCCGTGCCCCTGGCCGAGGAGCTGGGCTGGGCTGGGCTCCAGGGCCACTTAATCCAAAACCACTTTGCCTAATGACCAAGTCCATAAAGTACAGTGTGGGCAGGCCTGGGGATGGGAGTTCTCCACCTCCTAGAGCAAAAACAACAACAACAACAAAAAAAAAACCCAAGATTTTTGTAAAACTGGGTAAATTCTTTTAAAAATAATTGAAATCACATTTCTGTGGAGTTTCAGAACAGGCAAAATGAATCCGTCGTGCTAGAAGTCAGAATGGCAACTACCTTTTGGGGGAGTATTGACTGGGGCACGAGGAGGCACAGGGGGGCACCAGAGGGGCTTCTGCGGTGCTGGCAGTGCTGTATATCCAGCTTTGAATGGTGGGCATGTCGGTGAACACATAGGTAAAAACCCACTGAGTATCTTCCGCTTCTAAGATTTGTGCACTTAGCTGCATGTGTGTTGGGCCGCAACAAAACATGAAAAGATTTTAATCGGGGGCATAAATTGTAGAGCGACCTTTGTTGGGTGGCATGGCAACTCCTGCAAAATTTCAACAACACAGAAATGCAAAGCTAAGCGCGTTAGTGTCCCAGGGTGATGAGAAACCTGTCCTCAGCCCGAATAATAATTCAGCACCAAGGACAGGGGCGCACCTAAACCCCACTCCCCACTTCGGTCCTGCCTCGCTGCCGATTAGTCTGTTAGTATTCAGTGCTCTTGTGTATTTCTGTGTCTGAGCATCCCCTTTCTTTTTTGCCATTTTAATACTTGTTTAAAACTCAGTTGGCTCAAGGACACTCATATCTTAATTTGGTATTTATTTTTAAGTGTTGGTCGAATGAACAGTACGCAGCCACAACTAATGATATTGTTGCATTTCCACATACCTTCTTCTATTTCTTTTGCTTGTGGAAACTTTAAGAGCTTTTAAGCCAGCTTTGCCAAAAGTTCTTTACTCAAAAGTTAATTTACAACTTGGAAGACACTAGGGCACTACTTCTCATCTTGTAAAATGCACTGGGTCTTTGAGCCAGCAATTCCACATTAAAGAATCTCTCCTGAAAATGTGATTATATATGTGTGCAAAGATAAGGACATTCATTTAAGCAACGCAGTCTGGGGTAGGCAGGGGAGACTACTTTTTTCTGTTCCATTTTTGTATTCTTAAAAAAAATTTGTATGTATAATCTTTACACAAATAAAAAAAATAAAGTTAAACTTTTATTTTTAGGATAGATGTCAGAACCTGCAAAAAGAAGGTTCAATTTCAGGTGAGGGAGTCCCTGACAGTGAATGTGCACTAGGAAAATCTGTTTGAAGGTGGTTGGTTTTAGGTGGGTTGATTCCCCCCCCCCCCC